CCTCATGTCTGACGTCATGGAGCTGCTGCCCCACAGCAAGAAAGACGTGAAGCTCGACACCAAAAACGAGAGGGCGGTGGTCAACGAGGTCTGCGATCTCAAGGTGAGCCGCTGCGGCCCCCTCCTGCCCTGTGTTCGGTCAACGGTCTGGTCAACTGTCCGGTCAAAGGTCTGGTCAGCGGTCGGAGGTCGCGGGCACTCTGGGAATCGGAGGTGGCCGCCGCGCGCTGCGTTTGCCCGAGGCGGAGGAGTAGGAGCTGGAAGGGGGTTGGGGGAGGGGAGGACGGAGCGGGGGCTGCTGGTGAGGTGGCTGGCGCAGCAATCTTTGTCCCCATGCATGCTCGCATGGCTGCACGAGCTGGCACGCTTTAGGAGTGCAGGCGCGCACGCATGCACATACACACACGCATGCACACACACACACGCACGCACGCACGCGCACACAATCACACACACACGCATGCACACACACACGCACGCGCACACACACACACACACACACACACACACACAAACACACACACACAATCACACACACACAATGTTTGGTAACCCGCTGTCGTGAAGCTCCCCAAAAGTGGCACAGCTCCCTTCGCACCCTCTTACCGCCCTCAATCCCCTCCCACTTCCCCAGGTGGAGCGCGCACGCGTTTGTCTTCCGGATTTTCCGGGCCGTCAAGGTGGAGTGACATGCCGCCTCACGACAGCCCCCTCTGCGCGGCCCGCTTTTTCCCTGCATCGTTCCCTCAACGCCGTCGCGGCCTGTCGTTGCAAGAGCCCCAGCTGTTCCTGTCGGCCTGCGAGCCCTTTACTTTGTAGCTGACAATAGAGAGGCATGCGTGACCGCTGTAAATAGAGCAGCACCTCAACAACCGGGACCAAGCAGGGACTTTGCCCCAAGTGACACATGCAGCTGGGCGTGCCGAGGCGCCCCATAACACGAGCAGATGCTGCCCCGCTAACGCCAGCGACCGCGGGCCGATCCTCGCGCTGCGCGGCGCAAATACAGCAGCCCAATGGCCCCCGCCCGCCCCCGTCACGGCCGCTTTGCCGCCGCCGCCCCTCTCTGGGTGAACGAGGTCATGAGCCCGCTGCTCATGAGGCCGCCGGGCAGGAGGTCGCCGATGTTCTGGGCGATATTCTGCGCCGCCGCCGCCGCCCCGGTGTCCCCCAGCATTCCCGTGAAGGCGCTGCCCAGCACGCCGCCGTGCAGCCGCGCCTGCAGCGCGCCGAGCGCGGCGCCGGCGCCGGCGGAGAGGCCCGCCATCCCGCCGTCCGCGGCCGCAGCGGCGGCAGTGGGCGATGCTGCTGCGGCGGCGGCGGAGCGGCTGTTAAAGGTCGAGGAGGAGCCAAAGTCCGCCAGACTGTACTCAGCCGCGAGGTCGCTCGCGGCCGCCGCCGCCCCGCTGGCGCCCGGCGCCAACGACGACGGAGCCCCCTTAAGCCCGCCGGCGCCCGGCGCCAACGCGGCCGCGAGCTGTGGCGCTGCAGCGGCGCCGCCGCCGCCGCGCTGCCGTGCCGCCGCGAGCGCCTGCGCGACGCTGGGCGCGCCGATCGGCAGGTACTGAAAGCGCGGCCCGACGGGCAGCACCCCAAACGCGTTGATGTCCGGCGGCGCCGCGGCGGCGACGCCGGCGGCCGCGGCGTCGGGGTAGGCGCGCCGCAGCTGGGCGAGCGTGCCGAGCAGCACGCTTGAGCGGAAGTATGCGGCGCGCGCGTTGGCCCAGAGGTGCGGCTCGTAGGTGGCCCAGTCGATGGGGTCCAGGCGTTCCTGGCGGTTGAAAAAGTGGCAGTTGGAAGCCGGCGGTTGGGCAATTAGTTAGGGCGGTTGATAGGGCAGTTGGCAGGGCCGGAAGCCCGGTGATATGAGCGGGTGGATCAAGGGATGTGTCGTAGGGCGCGGGCCGGGGGTGCGGTCTTATATACAATAGGCAGGGGCTGCTTGGGCTTGCGCGGATTTGGAGGCTTGTTAGGCGGCGTGAACCCTAAACGCAGCCAGCCACACGCACCTGCAGCTGCTGCTCCAGACCCAGCAACCGCCGCCGCCGCTCTGCCAGCGCCGCCGCCGCCACCGGCCCCACCGACGCCACCTCAGGCACCCCGCTGCCGCCCAGCGACCGCGAGCGCGCCGGCGCCGCGTCGCCGCTGCCGCCGCCGCGCGGCGCGGCAGTCCCATCCGCAGGGAAGGCGCCCGCCAGCACGTCCCTAATCACCCTCAAATCAAACAGCAGCTGCAGCACCCCCTTTTCGCTTACGGGCTCCGCTCCCGCCTGCCGCCGCGCCACGGGCCCCTCCCCGTTGACGCCCCACGCGCCACCGCCGCCGCCGCCGCCACCGTCCCCTGCGCCGAGCCGTGCCGCGACCGCCTCCAGCAGTGCCCCCTGCAGCTCCCACTGCAGCAGCTGCAGCGCGTCCCCCGCCGCCGCCGCGCCGCCGGCGCGCTCCGCCTCCCAGCACGCGGCCATGAGCGCGGACAGCGCCGCCGCGCTCGGCGCGGCCGGCAGGGGGAAGCGCATGTCTTCCTCCAGCCCGGCCGCGCCCGCGGCGGCGCCGCCGCCGCCGAGGCCGAGTCCAAATCCGAGCGCGTCCGCGTCCGTGGCGCCGGCGGAGCCCCCGCCCACAGGCACGACGGTGTCCACCCAGCAGAGCGGCGCTGACGAGGCGGAGAGCGCCGCGTCGGCGTCAAGTGACGCGGACAGCTCAGAAGCGATGCAGTCCGCGGCCCAGCGCGCCCACGCGGCGTATGCC